GAATGCTTTGGTTCTTTGAAGCTGCTTTTATGGTGTCTTGTCTGCTTGTCCTGAATTACTTGACTGTGTCACAGTCCAGATTAACTGGTTAAAGTTGACCTTTAGTGCAATGGAGTTTTATTTTTTGGTTGAAAGCTAGTCTGTAACTTAGTAAAACACTGGTTCAGAAATTGTCACTATGCATAAAGACAGAACCTTGTTTAGTCCTCTTGGATTTTGTTTTTTACCCATGCATCCAACACTTCTGCCAGACATGGGTGTCCAATGCTCAGTGGTGTGTAAGTTCCCTTGAAGCAGGTAAGCTGTGAACTCTACCTGGACCTGCAACTTGTGTTGGTTCTTGTACGTGAAGGCAGAGAGCTGGGGCTCAGTATTCTTAATCCCCCAGGCTTGTAGGATATTTAAGACAATGCCCTGCTAGGAAATCAGTTATCTTTTTGTTTTAAATAATACTCAGTGTGATGCAGGAGGTTTCTTTCAAGCACCTTCTTTAAAACAAATATACTCACTGCATTAGTTCCATTTTTCACACTGCTATAGAATTACATAATAACATCTAGTACTACCAATCAGGTTTGGGGTTGTTTTTGATAGTTCAAAATATTATGTTGTACATTGTTCGAGTTCTAAATACATAAAATATCAGCAGTCTTGAGGAATCTCTGATTTGCTAAATATTTTGATTCTGCAGAAGAACAACTAATAAAACCCTCCAATATAACTCCCAGTGTCATGGTTCCCATCTCTCACGCTCTTTGGCTTCAGCAAAGAACTTGCTGGGTCCTGCTCCTGTGGGCACACGTGAACACTTGGGCAGAATATCCCGATGTCTTGGGGCCATGGCTGCAGTGGTGGAGTGTGCTGTGCTTCTCTGGGGCTTATTTTTGCTTTGTGGCAAAAACAGAGCCTAGGGATCCAAACTCTCATTAGAGCTGGAGCTTTGGACTTCCACAGGCAAGAACAGCCCAGCCCATTGCCTTGGTGTAGGTTTTTCAGTAGGAGGTTTTAGCTCATCAGGACTCTGAAGGGGGTGGCATTTATCTCCGTGGTGTTTGTTTAACTTTCTGTGACCAGAACATCTAATTTGAGCCCAGTGTGAACTCCTGGAATTCTCTGTGAGGTGCCCAAGTACATTAATTACATACCTTTACTTAAAATGCTGCCAAGGAGGGATGTAGCTGGCAAGTATCCACGAGATGTGGAGAGGGGATGAGGAGGAGGACCAGGGCAGATTGCCCTGCATGTATCCCATGGTGTTGAATGTCACCATCTTCTAGTGGTGGGGCTGAAATTAAAACTTGTCTGAGAAGGATGTGCAGCAGCTGATGAGAAATGTGACAGTTTGAAATGAGACAATAGGGTTCCTGATTAATTGGAAAACATGGCAAACAAAACTGAAACCGCTTTACCATCACTGCCAGGAGCAGTCGCTTGTATTGCTTGTTTGGCTTTCTCAACAACTCCCCATCCGGTACCAGACAGTCCTGAAGAGGCAAGAAGTCTTGCCAGTGAAACACCAACTGTTTAGACCAAACCTCTGAATAAAATAATCTCTTTGGTTCTGTTACTGTGTGTTGTTTTTTCACATTTTCCCTGTGGGGTCTGGTTCTTAACCCCACTACTCTGCCTGTGGAGGCTGTTGTAGAGGTGAGAGCAGGGAGGGGAAGGTGGTCTCCTCGTTCCAGGGAGCCAGACCCACCTGACTCTTCCCTTGTGATGTTGCTCGTGTTTTGGCAGTGAGGTTTCCAGACTTACATCACTGGGTGGCTGAAGGCATGAAGTGTATTCCTGGGGTGGCATCTTGGAGAAGAAAAGACCACGAAGTGTGAGGATTAACCTCGTGTTTTAAAGGAGGGGAAGGAATGTGTAATGAGAGACAATGTGATGAGACTTCAGTGTTCTGGGTGCTGTGCATCGCTAGTTACTCAGTACTGTTCTCTTCTGTCAAGGCACAGCTCAGCACAGATGTGGAGAGGTCCTGCTGGCTGGAGCAATGCTGGGCTCTCCCCTGCTGCTGGTTGGTGGGCAGATTGGCTGCACCCCTGGTCACGTTGGAGACCTCAGGGCTTTTCCTTGGGTTCTCAGGTCGGATTGATTTATGTACCTGGCACTTGTCACTGCTGTAACTTTGTCAGGGCTGGGCACTGAGGGCTGGGCTCCTGGTGGGAGGGCTTGTGAGGAGAAGGGTAGAGGCAGAGCCAAAATTGCTGGCTGGAGGTGTGGGAGCAGAGGTGCCGCTGTGGTCACTGTTCAGTGTTTTGAGGGGATCTCTGCCAACTTCCAGCCCCACTTAATCTTCTGCAGTCAGTCAAATGGGCACTTCGATCATGTTTCCTTCAGAATGGTTTTTACCTGAATACTGAAGTACATTGAATTTTACTTTAAATTATGTCAGTCATTGAAATAAAGTACCAAGCCTCTTCCATGAGCATTAATAGTCTTTGTTGCACCTCAGTACAAAAGTGAACCAAATGAAAACCTTTCATATCAGTTGTCAGTGGAATATGAGACAATAGGAAGAGGATGACACTTCTAAGATGCTCATTTAGCACATCTTCACATAAGAATTAATGCAGGGGTTTGGTAATAACCCAAAAATGGAGAAAAAACGTTCATCTTTGGTAGTTGCATACGAGGAGCCCAGTGTTGGTATCTCCTCAGTGTGCAGCACTTCAAACATGTCCAGCTATTGCCATGGCTGGGCAGATTTCCACAGCCAGGGCTGCTTTTTTCATTTTAGTCAAATCTCACATTCAGTAGGGAAAATAAAATTTGGAGAACAGACTGATAATAAAAGATTACATTTAGGAAGGTACAGTCTTCTGGACTGGCTGGATGACTCCAGTTTAAAAAAAGATTGTATCAGACCTCGGGAAACTGTGTGTTGTAGTTATTTTGATTACTTCTTGTTTCCCAGTGTCCCCGGCCATTCCTCAAGGGAGCAAATAGTTCCAGCTCTGGGAATGGGCTCTGGGGCTCAGATCTGCCAAATGAAACTTGCCTTTTTCACAGTAGACCAGATGGGATTCACAGGTTGCTCAAACCTGGCAGCTGATTTAACTCACATCCCTGCTTGTGGAAATTTTTGGTCACTCATCTGTCTTGTCACAACTGTCTGAAAGCACCGAGGTTTGGACATGGCACTGTTGGTTGTGCAAATGGTTCTTCCTTGTGTGTTGCTTTAGAAATGTTCAGTTGCGAAGTGCCTGTGAGGGTACTTTGCTGAGCTGCACTTTAAAATCCTGAACATGCATTTAGCCAATACTCTTCTCCCAAATGTCAAAGCACGTGGAGGGAAAGTTTTCCTCCCTCGCACTGTGTTTTTGGCTGGGCATCACATTTTCCTGTGACCTGTGCACACATCCTACAGTCTGACCTTTTCCTTGGTTCCAAACGAACTTGCAAAACTCCTCAGCTGCTCCCTGACAGCCCTGTTTGCTGTGTGCTCGCTGAGAAAGTGCTGGGGAAACCACTCTAAGTGCTCACAACCTTTCATGCAGAAAGTACAAGGACTACCCAGCTGCCTCATATTCCCCTCGCCTTGCTCATGGGAACACTGTCCCTGGCCCCAGGAGGTGGAGGGAGCTGTTTTAAACACTTGCTGTTCCCTGCGTGGCTTTAGCAGGGTGCTGGGTGTCCCACTGCTTTACAGCTCTCCGTGGTGCTCCACTGCTCTGTGCTGTGCACAAGCACCAGGAGTCTTGCTCAGGGACACCTCATTTCTCTGGGCAAGGAAGGCTTTTGAACAGGGGGCTGGGACATGTGGGTTTAGGTGTGACATGTTGCTGGCCTGTAACCTGGACACAGGAACCATCTTGAGAGCCATCAACTCAGACCCTGGAGAAACTCCGCTCTCTGCTCCACAGGGAAATCCAGTTTCAGTTGTAAAATGGAGACTAACCAGTGCTAAAAACACCCCACCAGTCAGGAGAGTGATGTGGGATTCATGTGTGACATTCCTGGGAGTGTTTGCACCAAATATGCATCCCAGAGTGTCACTGTGATTACTGCACTGCTGCTCAGCCTGACTGGGGCTCCTGCGGGAGGCTGTGGAGCCAGGCAGTAAAACCCACAGCTGGTCAGACAGGAGTGTTCCATTACCCTTGGCATTTCTGGCTACTGAGCAGGCTTTGAATGAGCCACCACAGGCATTACTGAGGAGACACTGAGATGGATGAATGCGCTGCGACAGCCCTAATTTTGGAGCGGGAGTGCTCACACAGCCTGTTGTCAGCGAGCGTGTTTCAAGGTCACTTGTGCCTTCAGCAAGTGGACTTGCTTTGTGGTTTAGATGTGATGCATGTGCAGCACCAGAGCTTCTACAGGGCTCCAGCTGATGGTTCTGTAGTTGTTGATTCAAATACTAGTTTCACATAACAGCAATCAGCAGCCCCTGGGACCTCAGTGCCTCCAGCCAGACCTGCTTTTCACGTGAGAAATCAGTTCTGTGAGACCGGTGGGCACTGCAGGGCGAGGCACGGGCCAAGGGGCTGATGTGTGCAGCAGGTGAAGCTGTTGGCCTCTAGCTGTGGGCAGCAGCATGAAACCCACACGCTTATTAACACAACAGATGAATCTCTGGTACAAAGTCCCTGCTAAACCGCTCATTACCCATGACTTAAACCACATCTTTCAGGAGCTCTGGAGTGTTCATCCCACGAACTAGGGCAACAATAGGCTTCCTTCTTCTGAAACTGACAGTGTTTCTTGCCCTGCCTTGACTTCCAATTACTAAGTAGGTCTGGTTATGTCATTGTAACAACCCCTGGCTCCTGTTTGCAAACACTTTTCTGGGAAGCTTTTGAGCATTTCTATTCAGGTTGTTTTCCCCTCCTCCCCCCCTTTTCTTGGCAATGCAGAAGTGCCTTTAACACGTGAGAAGTTGCTGAGATACATGAACAGGACTGCCTGCTGCTTGATGAGATATTCAAAGGCTGCTGAATTGTTATTTTTAAGAAGGTGGCTTACGGGTATTAATGAAAATACAAAGCCTGTGTTGCCAATTAGTCACCTCTCATTTACTCAGAATTCTCTCCATCCTTATATAAAATACACACTAATCGCACACATCAAACCAAAAGCTATCCCCTACCACCCACACTCTGCAGCACCAAGTGCAGCAAAGTGCTGGCTGGTGTTTTCCATAGCTGCTCCTGTGTGTGTGGAAGCAAAGAAGGTCTAAACTGGTGGAGGTGGTTGCAGTGACATGTCAGTGCCAGGAGAGGCTAAACAGAGCTGGAGCTGGGCTCGCATTGTTTGGATACACTGTGACTTCAGTTCCAAGATTTCATCCAGCATGGCCATGAAATTCTGAAAATCCTGGTGAAGAAGGCAAAAGGAAAGTTTAGGAAACAGCAGCAGCAGGGTTGAGAAAATCAGCATATTTTTTGCACTGCAGCAGTGCATAAAAGCCTGTTTTCCATTCTGCAGTCTAGTAGATTACATGAACATTTCCTTATTTAAGTCCCGACCCTCACAGACAAAGGTCAGTGTCTCTAAGTACCAAGGTTCACTGACTCTGATAGTTTTATCTGTTGGTGAAATTACAGCAAATACAATGGTTTAAAAATAAAAATGTATGAAACACCTGTTGTTACTCTGCTACACTGGTCAGCTTTTCAAAGATTTGGTACAGGGACTGGTCACCCAGTTTTACAATCTACTGAATACTGTTCCTGACACCTCTAATGTTGGATCATGAAAATAAATGGGGTGTTGGGCCACCCATGGATCATAACAGCCCAATCTTGAGAGGTGTGAGGGGTTTATTTCTCATCAGGTCACAGGTCCAGTCCAACTCCTGCCTGGCTGCAGGTCTGCCAGGTCTGACGTGAGCAATCCCAGCACTGTACACAGCCTTGGCCGAGGGCAACTCTACCTTCCATAGCAACCTGCCACACGGATAAAAAGCAATATGAAGCTGATTAAAACTGAAATGGAGGCAGTTATTTTTAAGTAGGGCTTGTATTAATAAGGGAGCACTTGGATTTGCTCTGCTCTCCAGCTGTGAGAAGCCTGGTGCCTCTGTTCACAGGTCAGTGCCTGAGAAGCTGGGAGGTGTCAACATCCCCAGGGCTGGGGAATTCAGCTGCTGTGCATGGAAATCAATCACTTGAAAGCTGATTTGGCAGTATTCCAGGTATTTCCTGCACTGTATCTCTGTCTCACAGGGACATCGGGACAGTAATAAAGACCAGCCCAGCTGCTGTGGAATATTTTTCTTAAGCACTTTAAATATGGCTTTGTGTTCAGTGTGTGGCTGGTCTTGGCATGAGTCTCTCCTGCAGCCAAAATTTCATGGCTGGAGAAGTTGAAACCATCTGAAAATGGAAGCAGAGAAGCTGATACAGGAATCCCAAGCTGATTTCACTACCCAAAAAACTGTCATGCTGTGAAATAACACTGCTGGGAGACCTGGCAAGCTTGTCATAATTCTGCTAGCCAGAAAATAATTGCTTGCTGCAAGGGGCAAATAAATGGGGGGCAGAACTGGTGTCCAGTGATCAACAGACTTAGGAAGAACAATTTCAAAAGATTTTTTAAAAAATTAAAAATAAAAAAAAGTAAAAGATTGCTTTGTATCACTCCACTGTCTGCCACAAAACTAACACAGTTTATGGCTCCTGTGCTGCTTTGTGAACCTCTGTATGTTATCTGTAACACAGCACATGCAGCTGGAAATCACAGTGAGTAAGCCACATGGTGGATCCAGTCCAAAATCCCTGAGGGAAGAGTCCCTGTACTTCAGATCTGAATTGTGATAGGAACTGAAATGGTTTGGTAATGCAATGCAGCAATGCAGCTTGGCTTTACTGATAACATGAGGGAACTGGGAAGGCAGGAGTTCTCACTGGGAATTGTTCACAGTCTGGGTGAGAGGTGAGACTTGTCCCATGGCTGTGACATGTATTTGCTGGGATGCAGGAGGAACAGAGAACTGGGATTGCACTGGGGCCATGCAGGTGCCAGTCTTTGGGTCCAGCATACACCAGTTGTCATCTGAGACAAGGACAAGCCAAGGAACACCTGAGTGACAAAAGCCAAGAGCCTGTGAGGGCACAAGCCACAGCGGCCAGAGCACTGGAGTGAGTGGGGCCAGGGCTGTTGGCACATCTGCAGTGTGGGAGGCAATGGGGCCCCCAGAAGGAAGAGCCAAATGCCACCAGTGCCATGCTTTAGGGGTGTGCTGTGTTCTGTGATATTGACTCAACTTGCTCCAGCCTTTAAGGAGAAAAAAATCCCAGGGACAGACTCCCTGTCTGACACAGTCTGGTGCCCCTAACACAAAATAAGGGCAGGCTTTCTGATAAGAGACAAAGAGTTCAGGCTGGCCCATCCACCTCCTGCTGCCTCAATGACTCTGGAGATTGGCAGAAACACAACAGGCACTGAGAATGAAAGGCCTCTCTCCAAGGACACAGGCACCGGAGAACAAGAAGAGGAACTGATGAGGAACATCACATCACCAATTCAAATTAATAATCTCTGATATTAATCTATGCAGGTTCAACAGGCACCAAAATCATCATATGAAACACTTACCATTGCTGACATTTGATTTATCAAGCACTCCTCCTTGAAGCACAAGCATGCCATTTCATCCAGCTGCTCCTGATGGGCACGAATTACAGCCTGTCTGATAAACAAAAAATACACCTCTGGTTACACAGCCCACTGCACTACTTGTAGTTACTGCTGGCCTCAATAAACCTTCAAGAAGGGGGAATACCCCAGAGGAAGCCTTGCTGTCCTGTGTCCCTGGCACTCAGGAAGCTCCAGGGCTCCTTGAAGTGCAGAGGGATGCACTGGTTTGGGATTAAGGGTCAACCTCATGACTGAGGGTTGTTCACAGAGGACCGACCACAGCCCCTCATTAGCACAGGCAGCACAGGGGCACAGAGCGAAATCAAGGAGCAAAACAACTGACTAATTAATTGGTGAAATGGCTTACAACCATGAGGCTGAAAGTAATTTTGGTGAAAAACAGGCAGAGAAGGAAGGCAGTGCTGCTGTTGGTTCCTCTGAGCAAGTTTCACTGATAAACAATGTATTTTCAGACACACGAATGCAGGCCAGTCCCTGGGAGCTGACAGTGGCAGCTCAGAGTACTTGGAAGTTTTATATCTACACCTTCAGTGACTGCCACGCTGCTTTTCTCTCCATAGGGATAGAACAGCTATGACCTGACTCTTGATGGAAGGTTTTGATGTATTTTAGGTATTTTACAGCTTATAGGAAGCCAATTAATTACTGAGAACTGCAGTTTGTACTATAATATTAGTTCCTCTAGCATTATGTTAGAAGCTCTAATAGAAAAATTGGCTTCCTGTGAGATTTTAAAATATCACTAAGTAACAAGCAATCACATATTTAAAAGATACTGACTATAAATTGTGATTAATCCTATTAAATAATTATTTATTAGAAGATTACGCTTTGGTTTTTAAAGCACATATGACTATGACATACAAATAAAGACAAATGTATCACTTTTCTAAGCTTCGTTACAAACTTCAGTGATGAGCAAGACTTACTGTGCCTTTTCTAGGGTTTCCCTCTGCCACTTCCCCAACTCTGATGTAGCACTTGGAGAGCTGCTGATGGACATGCCTGAGGGGCTCTTTGCATTTGCTACTGGCTTATCATCTTTGGCTGCACATCCTGCATCTGCAGCAGAAGTCTCTTGTGTAAAACCACTCTGCATTAACTGGTTTTTTCGCAATGCTGTTTCCTCACTGCTGAATGATGACTTGGCAGGGTCTTCAGAATGGTCCTCATTCCTCACTCCTGACTTGGGCTGCACCAGCAGGCTGTTCTCCTGAGAGGGGGACTGGGCTGCATGATCTGTGTGCCCCACACTGAGAAAGCATGTTGCCTCTGAAAAACAGCTCTTTTCAGGTGTTTCAGCATTTGTTTCCTCAGCCATGGGCTCAACGCTGGGTTCTTGACTCGAGTTGGATTTTCCTGAACTACCGGCACCATCTTTAAGGTCAGCACCGCCCCGTCTGCCACCGGTGTGTTCCCTGCACGTGGAGTCACTGTGGGACACCCCACCCTCTCCCTCTGCCCTGGTGCCCGGGGATCCAGCTGTGGGTGTTTCTGTGGGGTCGGGCCCAACACACAAGCCCCCTCCCTGCTGTGCTGACCCCGAGCCCAGGCGGCAGCAGCAGCAGCAGGGCCTGGCACGGCAGCAGGCAGGAGGGAGCCACCTGTGCCCAGCCCGCGGGAAGCACAGCAGGGCGCGGTGCCTTCCCACCAGCCGGATCTGCTCCCCCAGCTCCAGCATGCTGTCCGTCAGGGCTCTGCTCCTCGTGCACTGCCAGCCCTCCTCCTCACATCTGCTCTGGGAGCCCTGCATGGCACTGCCTGGAGCCTGCTTCTCACCAGGGGACTTCTCTTGGCTGCAAGACACTTCGTCTGGATCAGTTGTTTCCTCACAGTCAAGAGGGGACATCAGGAGAGGGGCTATTACCTCGGAAGTGAATTCTGAGGAGCAGCTGGAAGAGACACAGTGGTTAGCTTCACTTTTACGAGTTTTCCATCGTACATCTCCTGCGAGGGCAGCCTGTTTGTCCAAAGTGGGTTCTTCCCTCTCCTCATGCTGGAGATCAATCTCTTTGCACTCTGGAGTTCCTGGTTTCAACACAGGAGATACATATGGGTTTGAAGTATCCTTTTCTGGAGTTAAGGTGGCTTCACTGGAGTAAACAAGACATCTGTGTTTGGTTTTGTACTCTTTGTGATCAGCTAGGAAATCCTTGCTGTGTTTCCAGCTACAAGCAGGATCTTCCTGCAGGCAGTAAGGCTTTTCTGCAGTATTGCTTGGAGGGGACTCAATAGCTAAGTCATAGTTCCAGTCTGCTGGAGTTCTGCTGCAGCCTGCATTTTTAATGGATTCCTCTGCCTTTGGGCTGCCCTCGATACAATCCCAGCTGTCATCTAGTTCATGCTCTTGCATGGCTATTGCATATTTAAAAAATAAATCCTGTCGCTTTTGGCCTTTTTGCTCTTCTTCAGTTCCTTCTTCTCTTTCATGAAGGAAAAAGGAATGTTGACTGCATTTGTTGGTGTTTCCCCTTTTCATGCTCTTTTGACTACAGACAGGTGAGAAAGAATCTTCACTGAAATCGCTGTCATCCAGATCTTCCAGTGGCATCCCCTCTTTGTTCTGCATTTCTGTGGGAGTAAGGCTCAGCTCCTGTTTTACTTGAATCTCCTCGGGCTTGTACTGCATTAAAAACCTCTCAAGGGGTTGATAGTTCAATTTTTGTTGTAGAATAGGTGGCTGCTGAAACTGCTGATGATAAAGACGTAAATGCTCCTCTCTTTCCTTCTGAAATGGAGGCAGATACGTCCAGGGTTCAACATATTGTTTAGCAAAAGTATTTCTGCTGTCAGAGGGCAGATTTCCCTCTCCAAAGGAAATATCATCTCTAGAAACAAGCTGTTTCTGAACAGGTTGCACTGTCTGGACTTTGAGGCACTGGACAGGTGATCTGTCTTGCATATACTTGTCTCTCTGACCACTCTCTCTTGTTTCATCTGTGGCAGCACTTTTGATGATGAAATCCTTCACAGAGGGGCTCTGTTCAGAGAGGGGGGACAGATCATCAGTTTTCTTCTTCAGGGGATGTGCTATTCGTAGTACTCCCTTAATTGGGCTCACGAGCTGGAAGCACGGTGTGCTGGTATTTCCTTTGTAGGCATGTCCTTTGCTGACTGCCCTTGGGGTAGAGGTAAGAGGGACACCAGGTGGCTGGAGTGCTGCAGGATATACCTTTGTTTTTGTTGCACTTGAGGGATGCTGTAGGCCTAGCTTTACTTTCTTTGGAGAGCTCTTTTCCCCAGGTGGCAAAGAGGGAGTGCTCTGGACACGTTTTGGAGATACGTTTCCAGCTCTGCGACGCCTATTTGTGACAGGGGTAGAACATTTAATCCCCTTCTTCAGCTCTTTGACCCTGTGAAACAGGCTGGATTTAGAAGGTGTCATGCTTTCAGATAAATAACAGCATCTTTAGAACAAACTAATACTTTCACGTATTGAGACTAAATACTGAATTCAGCACCGTGGTTTGTTTTGTAACAGGATCTTGTTTTGATACAGGTATCAAAATCCCTCTGCCAAAATGCCTGAACTTCTGGAAAGGCCTATAGCAGCCTTTTTAAGTGCTTCCTTAAACGATGCATGACAGGCCAAGTGAGTTGAAATGGCCCCAGTTTCAGTGCAAGGCAGTGTCATTTCCTCATGTTATCATGCAGCAGAAGGAGCTGGTACTCTACACAGCACATCAGAGTCCCACAGAGCACTAAGTAGGACTTCTGGAGTAGTTGCAGTGGGGCTCCTTAGCTCTGGTGATGTTCACAGGGCTACACTGCTCCTGGATCAACTGATCCCCAGTGAAACTGTAAAGATCTGATTAACTGGTATCATCCTGTTCCCTATCAGCCTGACCTTCAGCTGTTCCCTTTGCCCCTTTTGCCCTTCAAGTATCTCTTGTCCTTCTAACACCAGTGTTGCACAGCCTGTAATTTACCTCCTCCTATGTAGGATGGAAGGTGAAGGACTTGCACACATTCTAAGTAGAATTGTAATACAAAGCTAAACCAAATGCCTAAATCAATCTTTTCAAATCAGACAAAATAAAATGTAACCACAAATATCATACATTAGTTTTTCCTTTCTGTTTTTCATCCTGGCAAGACTGTCTTTCACCACCTACCTGTCAGCATATCGTAGAGTGTTCAGGGTATGCTCTGTAGCTAAGTGGCTGGGTGATACATTGGCTATCATACATGTCTTGGAATTGCCAATGAAAGAATCCTTTAGCACCTAGGATTCAAAGGAAAAAAAAAACTGGATTCTTAGCAGTTCATGCCCCTTGTTTGTCCTGTAAATTAGCAATGTGTACAGAAGAAATTGAACACTAGTTACTGGCTCCTTTTTTTTTTCTTTTTTGTTAAATGTAGTTCTTTTGTCTCAATTTGCCCTCTCATTATTCGTTTACAGTTTAAAATGAATATGAGTGTTAATCAGGGCTCTGAACAAACCCTTGCAGCAGGTGCCACAAGGGAGCCCATATGTTTTGGGGAATAAAGCAGATGTTACAACTGAAGAAATGTTGATGCAAGCTCCCAGGACTGATACTGCACAGAAGATGCAGGATTGGTTGCAGATGGATGGTAACTCTGAATGAGTCTGGAAGGTAGTTTCTGGGGTTTTGTTTTGTTTTAGCTTTTTTTGTTTGTTTGTTTGTTATTTTAACCATGCCAGTCCCCAGCACTGGCTGGGAGAAACTGGTAGTAGGCCTTAATTCTGTGATTACTTCTAGAATTAAAGTTTGCAAAAGTTATGCTTTTCCTCTTTTCCTAAAGGGTTTAATAGCAGTTACTGAACTATGGCACTTATTTATTTATTTGCTTTTTTTAGTTTATTTTTGCCCTTTACAGGGAAACCTCTACTCTTGCCTTGCTGCTCATTTTACCTGAGTCAATTTGCTTTGCCGGAAAGGAGTGTGTGCATGCTCCTGATCCAGTGCCCGAATGCATTCCTTCAGCTGCCAAAAGAGAAAACATTCAGAAGGGAACAACAAATCAGTCATGAACTGAACTGCATCAAACCGAACCTAACAGTGCCCTATGTCACCTTTGACTCCTACTATGTCCTGTGCCAAGGTCACTTTGCAGCTGCCACAGGCAGGAACAGGCAGCTCCAGCTCCTTCAGGCAGCACAGAGCACAGATTTGTCTGAAGACATCCCAAACCCACCTGGGTGTTTCTGTGTCACCTGCTCTAGCTGATCCTGCCTTGGCAGGGGGGTTGGACTGGATGAACTCCAGAGGTCCCTTCCAACCCTGGCAGTTCTGTAATTCTGTGATTTATTATCAGACTTGTAAAAAGATGCCATGTTCAAACTCAAAGATGTGTACTTCACTGGAATAAGCACAATAGCATCACACTCCATATCAAGCCTGGATGCTCTCTAAAACTGCCAGAAATGGAAAGTATAGCCACGAGACAACCCCTTTAGAGGAAATATTGAAGGAAAAATAAGCAGATTACAGTACTGTCATGGTGATACTAGCATGAATCATTTACAGCCTTACTACATTCTACAGACTCCTACTTAAAATGACACTTATTTGTCACTTTTACAGCATTTTATTAAAAATTGCACCTGTAACACGCAGGAGATCAAACAATTATTTTTTTTTTTATCCTGCTTCTCCTTGTTGCAGCATCTGAAAGTCTTACACTTGAAATTAACAGGAATATTTAAACGAGCAGCAAACTTCAAACCTCATGTGTTTAAATGCCTGAAGACAAAGTTATTATTACTGAGGGCAGAGTTGGTTTTACAGGCTGCAGGTCATGTGGACCTTTAATACCTCTTATATTACCTTTTACAGTTAATTCAATCACTACTTGTAGACTGCCTAGGTATTTTCTCAGTTCCACACAATACCAAAAGGTACACACTCTGATTTTAAAGTTTCTTTTAAAACAGTTTCATGAGCTTACACTATGTCTCATTTCTCACGAATCACAGAGTTGTTTAGGTTGGAGAAGACCTTTAGGATCAGACTTCTTTCTATTCAGGTCCCAACTCCCTGTGCCATTCAGTTATTCACCAGCAAGTACTCCAGAAAGCACAAAGTACAGAAACACATTCACTTCACAGGCTACCTCCCAGTACAAATGCTAATACTCCACTGCAGGAAAAGCTTCTGTGAAAAAGAACATTTACATTCTCAAAACAGAGCAAGGCACCTCCCATTTACAGCGCACTAAGGGGTGCAGTTGTGTGCACTGACTTCTGCACTGTTGTGTATCACTTTCAGCCTTGCTTAGAAAAGACCACAGTCATCAGTGAGCTTTGTTCCTTGGCATTAAAGGAGGTGCAAAGCTTTCTGCACAATTTACCCTTACGGGCACTTCTGCTTTATCTCAGATGGCATTTTTCTGCTCCTTTGTCCCCCTTTACCTAACTGTGGGCACTTACAAAAGAACAGTTTGCATTAAGACTGCATTTCTTCCTGTTCCTTTCTCCCCACGCATGAATTGCTAGTTTCTGTGCTCTTGAGTATTTAAATCCTTTATTCCTGATTTGAAAGAGAAGCCTGAGTTCAAGCAGTGAAAATAACTGGCAGGAACAGATGTGTTTTTATGAAAAAAATACAGCAATTCTAAGCCAGTATTCTTTGGATGTAGAAGGGACAACACTTTCTATATAAAATATGGGACACTTATACTATACCTGCATTCTCCATGCTATGTTTACCTGGCTAGCTGTAAGAATGGCTAAAAAATACTTGATTTTCATCACAAAATTTCTTCCTTCTTAAATTGTCTTTCGGTCACGATACAAATTAAACTGGACACAATACCTTGGTTATTTTTCCTCCTCCATGGAATACATTCAAATATTATGATGTGGGTCATTTTTATCCTAAAACACATGCTAGTAATTAAATATAAAGCCTCCCCCAGATATGACAGTAGCTTACTGCTAAAAGACTTTGGTTTATTTCTGCTCCTTCCATTTTTGTCTGTCGATCTGAGTCTCTGGCATCAGCTGCCCTTTCACTGCCAGCCAAGTCAATGAATGATATCCTAGAAAAAAAAAAAAAAGTTGCATTTATCTTAGAGCCTTTTTTCCCCCTCTTTTTCCTTTTTCTTTATTAAACCAGAGAGCTGAAACACATGGCATCAGGAGAATGATTAGAAATTACTACTATTGAACAATGAAAAACATCCACTGGAAATATCTGAGGCACCAAAAGAAGCACAGCAGCAGGAACAGTGTCAGAGCATCTTAACACTAACACAGTCGTAATAGAAAGTGTAATTACGTGTGATGACAGTGCTCCACAGTTTAATGGACAAGCTGTTTAAAGTGCAACACACTCATCTCTCCAGATAATCACTGTGATTGTAGTTTCCTAAGAACACAGTTAAAAGAAATTGTAAGTTTCTTGATTTCTCCTTCCAGGTAAAACAGACAACTGTCATTCCCCTGTCAAATGGGAATTCAGAACAATAAGAACCGAAATTTCCAGCGCAGTAAATACACTGAGCTTTCAGTGATCCTTGTCCTTCCTCTACAAAACTCCATTATTCCATTTCACATTCTCTAGCTCTGGGTGCCAGCTGCTGTAATGGCTGTTGCACTGTATCTTTGTCTTTGCCCTTCTTGTTTTTCTCCAACAGCTTTGACTTCTTTCATAGGAATATCTGGGCACCCTTTCCTCTCTCCAGCTCCACCTCTCTTTCACAGACACACAAAAAAATACCCCAGACGCCACACCTAAGTATAACCCCTATACTTTTATTTCCTAAGCCTGCCTGTTCTGTCTTTTCCTCTCTCCACTGTTTGTGTGGCTCTTCCATTTTGCCTTCTGTTCAACATCTGATCCTGGGAAGAAAGACTACATGGTAGTTGCTGGAAGGGTGTGTCAGCATGGTTTTTTGACACTCAGCAGTAATAAAGATACCTAGACCTTTTTCCTCAGATCTATTTCGTGGGGTTGTTTAGTCTGGAGAAAAGATGACCGAGAAGAGGCATAATTATTTTTCGAATACATAAAGTGGACGCTAGAAGAGGAAGCCAAATGCTCTTTCTGTCTGCTGGAGATAGCATCAGAGTCACACTCTCAAATTATCAGGGAGGTTTAGCTGAGGTACGAGGTAGGATTCTTCTGACCAAAGGCAAACATCTGTAATGGAATCATCTCCACCAGGGTTAGTCATCCCAGACTCCCTTTGTAGTCAATTACAGGATAGAAATGCTTTGAGAGGCAAATGCATCTGACCTAATTTAGGTGGCTCTGAAGAATGGCATGAATTGGATCCCAGAAACGGCTATTTCTTTCCACTGACTTCAAAGGTGGAGAGCTCACATGTGGACCTGTCCACTGCAGACATCTACCTTCAGCCAGATTAAACACTGAAGATGAGAAGATGGACTTGATTGCCAAACTCCTTCACTGGAAATCTGTGCAAACAGTTTTGTCAAAGCTCTAACAGATGTGCCTAAAATGTTCTCCCTGGGAACAGAGAAAGGACTGTGAAACCTCCCAAAGTCCCTTTGAACCCTTTCCTCTAATTTAACTCACACCTGCCCACTAACACCTCCTCTTTGTCTCTTGGATGTGCCTGGGCTTGACATCGGCACTGAGTACTTGCACTTCTTGTCTTACCTTCCAAATGTCCTGTTGGCTGCATCTTTAATCTGAATTTGGATGATGGCATGAGATCGAGAGGAATCCGAGTTGACTCCAGTGGCTCCTGTGCTACGTTCTTTCCCCCCCTTCAAAATCACCTGCAAAATAACGAGGACAAAATCCAAGCAAATTGTAAATAAAAATACAGTCTCTCAGAAAGAGATCTTGTCCTCCCAAGATGATGAATGGCTCATTATAGCCTTAAAATTTGGTACAAGGCTGAAGTTAAGTTAGGCTGGATCCCTCACAATGTTTCTTTCAGACCTTTGTATGTGGACTTGCTTGCAGTGACACTACAAAGCTTAGAGAGCACACTGCAAATAAGAAGTTGCTACATCACACACTCACTCTGAATTGCAAAATACCCAAACTATAAAATTAAATTCTTTCTTTCATTGCTGGCATACTTTTGTAAGATTGTACACATAACCTAAGAGACTCATTAGACTATTTGTGCTCTTTTAAAATTTCACTTTCCCTTGTAGTAGATGGACACAATTATCCAGAAAGCGACACAAATAATACAAAGTGCCAAAACCTTTCTAAATTTTCCTAATAAAAAGAAATTATGCTAAAGGAAGGAACAAAGTTAAAAGAGCAATTATAGTCAATACAACAATAAAACAAGAAGGAAGAGAAGCAAGGCAGAAGGACAAAGAGTCCTTCCAGATACAAATCTGTATAATTATTTTTTGAAAACTTTAAAGGACTGTCACAGAAAGCCTAGGATTGACTGCAGCAGGGCATTCAAAAAACAATCATTCATTTTGCTTCTGGTTGTAAGAACAAAATAAAATATTACCTAGCAAAATCAATATGCTCTCAGTTGACAGATCTGAATTATTCATGCTTTTCAGTGGCCAGTTCTCAATGAGCAGCATAACCAACTGCTGCTGCTTCTGAGCTTTATATTAGTGCTAAGTGCAGATAATTTCTGAATCAAAGCCAGCATCAATTAATTGTGAATAACTAGGGATGTATTCAAGGCTCTTTCCATATATCTGTTGCAGAATACTCAGAAGCTTTGAGTCAAGTCAGTGACATTTCTGTGTTCAAAAGGGCCTGTGAATGATATCGTTCCCCCCCCAAGATATCTGTAAGAATGAAGTAATTTAATAGCTCTTCTGTGTGTGAAATGTGATAATACAGAGGAATTGTAAATCAACCATATAGCAAATTTACACTCTAATTTGCAGAAGCATCACCAGCTTGCCCCAAAGCTTGGAGTTAATGGGAAGATGAAGAACAAAATAAGGTGCAGTATAAGTGGACAACACAACGCCAATTTTAATGAGTCAATTACCATACCAGGCACTTGTAATTTACACTTCCTTACCAAGAAAGGAACTAAACTATGCAAAGTCAGGCTAAATAGAAAGCAGATTTAATCAGCTTTCTTCTTGTAGGAGACAATGCAGAAAATTTGCCAGTGATCTTTTCAGGCTCAGCCAGAAGGGGAAGGAAAATTGAAACCTTGCTTGTGGTGAATGTCAGCTACAATTTAAAGATCTTAATTTTACTTGGCTGTTATCACACATCATTACCTAAGCAGTGTTTTAATCCTAATTCAGATCAATATCTCAATCTTAAGTATTTTCTAATTACCAGTTCTAATTTCAAATTTATATTTTTTGTCCCACATACCCTTTATATACAAAAATCTAAGTTCGTATAATATCACATGGAGAAAATACACATCCAGCTTTCAAGGTCCCTTGCTGGGACACTATCTAATTTCTGGAATAGTGATAGCAGTCTCTTTCTTGGCAAAGATGTTCCCTAAGGAATGGCAGCAGAGGTGACAGCTGTGACTCAACTGCTTGCATGTGGCTAACACAAGTCACAGTGACCCAAGCAGCTTCATGAATGATACTTTTAAGCACTTTTAATAGCATCCCTCGGTACTCTGCTGGGACTGGTAATTTCAGGGCCTGAAACAGGAACACACACTTGTGCTACACACCAAATAACAATCTCTGCAAATATCACAAATCAGCAAATCAGGCTGTAGAAGACAAAGAATGAATCACGAACATAAAGGTTACCTCCAACAGTTCATCTACAGACTCCACCTGGACCTCCTGCAGTCCAACTATTTGAACCACGTGCTTGCCATCTTCTCTTGCATAAAGTCTGAAAACAAAACAGTGCAGAAAGGAGATTTCTGAAATCTCAGACAGCAGCAACGAAGACATGTGTCAGTGCTGTGACACTGAGAAAAAGCAATCAAGGCTACTCACTGGGGAAAGCCATTGCTGCCATTCATTTATTTTTAGAACTGAAGAAGTACTTAATTCATAACACGTGCCACTGGCATTTCACTGCTAAAGAGACATCAGCAATGCATTTCTGCTAGTTCAGGAATATAATAAAGCTAGGAAGTGAATTATCATGTTTACATTTTAGATAAACGTAAACTGCACCTCGCGTTCCTCTGGGAAGTTCAGACTAAGTTTTGCTCTGTTCATCTTCTCAAGATTTTTGCACAGGATTTTAAAGCAGCTCCTATGAACCTGTGCTACGAATCACACAGAAGCCTTACAATATAGAGGCATAATACAGACATGATGCACATGGGAGGAAGTTTAATCTTCTCCTTCAGTGACACATAAGTTAGCCAGTGGACATGCAGAGAATGTAAGGACATTCCTTCTTCCTTAGTTAATCTACTCCTTACACAGCAGATTACACTGCCTGCTCCTTAAAGACTGTTTTGGAGAAAGGGAACACACATGCACAGAAAAAGGTGCTTCCTTTGTGAACAGATGCTCGCTTCCCCAGAGGGGCAGAAAGCCTCCTCCTTAAGCCCTCCGGTGAGCCTGAAGGACAGTGCTCTGAGGCTGTTGCAGAACCCCAGCTGCCAGGTATGTTCCTTCAAGGTCACTCTGAAAAGATTTTGCTGCTGAAATTTAGAAATTTCAGACCACGGTGGGTTTTTTTTTAAACAAAATACGTGCTGAGCTGTCCTAATTCCAAATGGAGCTCCTGTAGGAGTATAGGACCATCCAGTTAAGTCTGGGACTGCGGTGCTGCTACTGAGGTGGTGGTGGCAGCATCATGTGCAGAGGCTTGCTCTGGCCAAGTCACTGGGCTGCCAGGTAAAGGTGATCAGGGAGAGGGTGAGCAGGCTCTGCAGTATCAGGCATGACAAGTAGAGATCAAGAGGATGTTCAGAGACTGGACTGGCAAGAGCCAAAGCCCCCCTGGCATAGCAGGAGAGACAGACAGAGGTTATGTTTGACCAGGGAAAGGACAATGTTTGGCCTAAGATAAGTTGCCCAGGGAAGTTGTGAATGCTCCATTCCTGGCAGTGTTCAAGGCCAGGTTAGATGAGGCTCTGAGCAATCTGGTCCAATGGAAGGTGTCCCTGTTCGTGGCATTGAGTGTGGAACAATATGATCTTTAATGTCCTTTCCAATCCAAACCATTCTAAGATTCTAAGATAGGAACTTTAGGCCACAAGAAAGTTGTTTCTCTACCTATGGATGTTCAGCTGTTGTATTTCTAGAGTGTAAGCAAAACAATCTGAGCTTGTATCTCAAACACAGGTCCTTATTCTTACTTATTTCTCTCCCAAACAATAAAACCAGGAGTCCCTATCAGTGTCAAAGTATTTAGTGCTAGATCCTGCCTTCCTCCCTAAGTAGCTCCCAGAAACAGCCCTAATTAAATACATAACATGTACTGTAAATGCCAGTATGTTAAATGAAATTGCATGAAACAGTAACTGATTTCTAAACAGTAACCAACCTATTCATAACCGTAGGTTTATAGTAAACCATGTTTTTTATTTAAATACCTCTTCCTTCCATTTAGCAGGTCATAAAGCTGCCCACAGTAGATCTCATAAAAACTGATGCAAACAAGAAGGTCTTTCCCTGACGGTGAAGCTTCCAGGTGTCCGAAGATGTCCTTGGCAGCCAGGGCGTAGAGTCCCGGGTTCCGGTGAGTTCCTATCATGGTGTAAGTCTTGCCAGCACCAGTCTGCCCGTAGGCAAAGCAGGTGGCATTGCCTCTGTGAAGATAACTGATGTGTTTAGTGTCACATCTGATTCATTCATATCTATTAAATAAGATTCTGCAGTGTTGGTATCTATCTACAGTGCCCCTTAGCAATGAGGTTTGGTTTGCCATCCTCTCTTGGAAGCTGCACAGCACTTAACAACTATTCCCAAGCACATCCTATGGAGATCTCATGTCTCACAGAGTGCTGGTTCTCTTCCTTTCTTTTCCTTTCCCTGTCCCCCTTAAAAAAAGACTTTTGACCCAGGTAAGTACCTTGGCAGATAGTGGGTAAAAATGCAGGTCTGCAGTGAGCATAGTGAACAATTTCTTGACAGCTTAGATTGCAGAATTAGCTCACCATGGTGTCAGATTAGACCAACACTTGTGAAAGGGATGCAGCAGGAGGGACAGAAAAGTTAGGGAAAGCTGAGGAAAAAACAGTGTCATCTATTCTGGTGGCATTACTAGATTAGCTGTAATGTGAATCGTGGCTTTAGTGACTATTAGAAAGCAAGACAAAGCCTCATTTTCCTTTTTTCCATTTTCCTTTTCTCAGGAGCATGATATGCTCTCTCTGCTGCTGACACTTAGAGATTTTCAGGAACAGAATACTCCACTTCATTAATTTTCAGCACGGATATGTAATCCTTTCCTTCTATGACTGAAAAAGGTAACTATATTCAAGCTCATTATTTTGCATGAAAATAAGATCGCTCACATAAAACCACCATCAATTTCCCATTAATCAGGAAGTATGTAATTATGATTAAACCTCTAAGCAAATATAAATCAATAAAATAAAAATAAATCACAAGGTTATTAATAATTTCTAGTGCCCTGTGAACTGTACAAATACATGCAAAAACATCTCTCAGCAGTCCCACGAAAGAAGTAACATATTTCCTCTACAGATGACTGTGCACCACACGATTGTTAGAGTGAAGATTAGACTTCAGAAATCCTGGGACACGTTTTTTTGTTCTAGGCTGGCCATGGTGTCTCTTGGTTGCACCTGAGGTCCAGTTTTACCTTCCTCCGTAATTTAGATTTGCCGCCAAGCACGAAGAAAGTTTTCCCTGATTTATTTTGTCAAAATTGCAATCAAAGACATTCTGAAAGGGGGAAGGTATGTAGCAAAGGTGAAATGAATGCATTTTTCAAAAGATGAAAAGCATAAAGGAAAATTAAAGCAGCATATGAAAATGGAAAAACAAGGCAAAACCAAGGCAAAAAATAACAAATGTAAGCACTTATGCCCTACCCGTTAAAAATATGCTGAATGAGAGGATAGGCTGTCT